TATAAAGCTTTAAAATTGTTTTTGGTATTTGCAAATAAAAAATGTGGAATAAAATTCCCAATTTATTCTTACTAAGAATAAAATAATTTATGCATATTAATGTATGAATTAAGTATAAACTTAGATATTTAATTAATTGAAACATTATCTACTTCAAAGAAATACATGCACATTTTGTTAAAAGTCCCTTGGTACGCCTTGACCCAGAAAATAATTTTAGTAATGACTACAGTTCGGAAGGAAGAAATTATTTCAGGATGCCCTCAGCCTGTGCAAATATATTGTCTTTATATCTATATTTGGCAGTATAACATGATCTAATCTTTAAAAAAATGGAAAGTTATTGTGAACTAAGACCTAGAATCATTGAGAATGGGACTCAATAATTTATTTCTGAAATATCTTTGCAATCGAGTTTCAAATAATAAATAAAATTTTGGACAAATTGACTTTTCTTCAGGAACTTTATTCTGTTAGTGCTGTAGTTTACTATACTGGACCTTCATCTAGAAGATAGAAGTCACTGCAAAAAACAAGGAATAATTCAAAGACCTTTTGTAAGGTCTTCAAATGGTAATACTAATGTGTCATATATAGTTTCACACAGAAACTATAAGCTATTTTAAAAATGCTTATTTATTCAGTTTACCTAAATCACATCATGAATGATCAGCTAAGTTATAAAGAATCCTTCTATGATAATAACCACTTAGCCTCCTAAATACTTTTGGAAACTTGCCAGGTGTAATCAGTACGATTACTAATAGGCCATATTTATGAAGTATGAAAGACAAGTCAGAATGTACTTTAATTCTGACACAGTCAAAAAGTCACTTTTACCCTAAGTTATAATAAATTTTTGACCAGTCCATCATACAGAATGAATATAATAAACTTGGTTGTGATTATTTAGAATATTTTATGTGCTCAAAATGTTTCTTAATTGATAATGTATTAGTCCACAACACATATGCTAGTACAATTCTGGAAAATAATTTTATAAATTTTTTTTCTTATTCTCAGGATAAAAAATTTATTTAAATAAAAATGATCTAAATTACTTTCACTTCACTTAGAAATACTAGATATTATAGTATTATTTAAGAAAATGTGTTTAATGGTCAGGAATTAGACATTCTTTCTCAGTCTCTGAGTTTTTTCAAAGTTGAAACATATAATTTTATTAACCAACTAGAGGCCCGGAGCATGAATTCGTGCACAGGTGGGATCCCTCGGCTTGACCAGTGATCGGGGCCTATTGGGGCCAGCTGCGGGGAGGGACTGTGGGAGGTTGGCCGGCTGCAGGAGGTTGGCTGTGGGAACGCATTGACCACCAGCGAAACAGCTCCTGCATTGAGCATCTGCCCCCTGGTTTTCAGTGCATAGTCACAGTGACCAGTCTACCGGTCATTCGTTCGACCGGTCATAATAGTTGCTTAGGCATATATATATATATATATATATATATATATATATATACTAGATGCCTGGTGCACAAAAATTTGTGCACTTGGGGGGATCCCTCAGCCCGGTCTGTGCCCACTCGCAGTCTGGGACTCCTCAGGAGAAGTCCACCTGCTGGCTTAGGCCCACTCCCTGGGGGATCAGGCCTAAGCTGGCAATTAGACATCCCTCTGGCAGCCTGGGAGCCCTCAGGGGATGTCCACTTGCCAGCAGGGAGCAGGCCTACGCTGCCATCAGACATACTTAGCACTGCTGAGGAGGTGGGAGAGGCTTCCACCACCACTGCTGTGCTGGCAGCCATCAGCCTGGCTTGTGGCTGAGCAGAGCTCCCCCTGTGGGAACACACTGACCACCAGGGGGCAGCTCCTGCATTGAGCATCTGACCCCTGGTTGTCAGTGTGTGTCATAGTGACCAGTCATTCCCAATCGTTCTGCTGTTAGGGTCAATTTGCATATTACCCTTTTATTATATAGGATACTAGAGGCCTAGTGCACGAAATTCGTGCACGGGGGCGGGGGTGGTGGTGGTGTCCCTCAGCCCAACCTGCACCCTCTCCAATCTGGGACATCCCTCTCACAATCCAGGACTGCTGGCTCCCAAACCGCTCGCCTGCCTGATTGCCCCTAACCATTTCTGCCTGCCAGCCTGATCACCCCCTAACCACTCCCCTGCCAGCCTGATCAACGCCTAACTGCTCCCCTGCTGGCCCAATTGCCCCTAACTGCCCTCCCTTTCAGGCCTGGTCCCTCCCAACTGCCCTCTCCTGCTGGCCATCTTGTGACAGCCATCTTGTGTCCACATGGGGATGACCATCTTGTGTGTTGGAGTGATGGTCAATTTGCATATTACCTCTTTATTATATAGGACTAGAGGCCAGTGCACAAAAATTTGCGCACTCGGGGGGGTTCCCTCAGCCCTGCCTGTGCCCTCTTGCAGTCCGGGACACCTTGGGGAATGTCCAACTGATGGCTTAGGCCTTCTCCCTGGGGAATCGATCCTAAGCTAGCAGTCAGACATCCCTCTGGCAGATCAGGAGCCCTCGGGGGATGTCTGACTAACAGCTAGTTGGACACCATTAGCTCTGCCATGGAGGCAGGAGAGGCTCTTGCCACCACCACTGCGCTTGCCAGCCATGAGCCAGCTCTGGCTGAGCAGCACTACCCCTGTGGAAGTGCACTGACCACCAGGGGCAGCTCCTGCATTGAGCGTCTTCCCCCTGGTGGTCAGTGCGCATCATAGCGACCAGTCGTTCCGGTTGTTCCACTGTTAGGGTCAATTTGCATATTATCCTTTTATTATATAGGATAGATGTCACCCCAATGAATTTAATAAAAATTTAAAAATAAATTTAAATAGGGTAGTCAGGGTCTTCTGATTCAATATATATTTTGATATAATTTGAATAAAATTCTGAAATTCAGCGTTATCAAAATCATATTAGTTTTACTGACATAAAATTGTACTAGATTTGCCAAGGCTGGTGTGGCTCATTTGGTTGGGCATCATCCATGCACCAAAAGATTGGTGGTTCAATTCCTGGTCAGGTCACATGCCTAGGTAGTGGGTTCCATCCCTGTTGGGGGCATGCAGGAGGCAGCTGATCCATGTCTACCTCTCACGCCAATGCTTCTCTCTCTCTCCCTACCTTTCTCTCTAAAATTCAATAAAAAATCTTTTTTAAAAAATCATAAAAGACTTGGTAAAACAAGGCAGTTGACTGCCATGCTGGCAAAAAATATTTCTATGCATATTAGTTTTTCTGGTTTTTGGATTTTTCCTGGGATATTTTTAAATTGCTTTAGTTTGCTATTTTGAAATCTGTCCAAAATTAACAGGTAAATTGAGACTTTAAAAATATCCTTGGACCCAATTTCTGGAAATGTCAGTAATATATCAAACTTGATTCTCTAAATTTACAGAACTTAGTATGAGAAGACTAAAGATTTACTCATTGGCACTTTAGATCAGTCCCTTGGTCAATATATTTCAACATCATATTTTCATTGATAAATGTTAGTCGTAACCCAAAGGCACATCCTAAAACATATGATTTCATACCATTATAAAATACTCAGTATTCCTCAATATTTGAGAGATTTACTGGTGATTCTATCTAAAATTTTGTAAACAAATTGGTATTATTAGATTTTACCAATTCTTGTTGACACTCTGCTTTTCTCCCCTCTATAAAATCAGAACTTTCAAACTTTAAGAACTTGCCTGAATTTGCTCCTTCCTACCCCATCCCTCAGATGTCTAGGACTCACAGACAAGTAAAAACTAAAAAGTTTGGATTATATTCTATTTATACCCTATATATTATAATAATTTTTATCAAATTCTCTCATCATTTTCACTCTCGAGTAATTCAGTTTTGGTCTCTTAAGTTAGCCATCCTTATCCTATATAATAAAAGTCTAATATGCTAAGTGTCTGGTCATCCAGTTGTCCATTCAACCAATCAAAGAGTAATATGCTAATGATATGCTAAGGCCGCTCAACCACTCGCTATGACGAGCACTGACCACCAGGGGGCAGACAGTTGACCAGTTGCTATGATGTGCACTGACCACCAGGGGGCAGACACTCTGACCAGTAGGTTAGCTTGCTGCTGGGGTCCGGCCAATCAAGCCCTCCTGTGGTCCCTCCCCAGCTGGCCAACCTCCTGCGTCTCTCCCTGGCTCCGATTGTATACCAGTGGGGTCCCTCGACTTGGCCTGCACCCTCTTGCAATCTGGGACCCCTCAGGGGATGTTGGAGAGCCAGTTTTGGCTTGATCCTGCAGACCAGGCCGAGGGACCCCACTGGTGCATGGTTCGTGCACCAGGCCTCTAGTATTGTTAATAATTTTAATCATCCTTATATGAGTCCTCTTGAGTCCCCTTGCATTTATTCTACTGTTTAAAACACAACATCTCTGTAGGCCTTTTAATTCATTTACTGTTTCTCTTCTGTTTCCTTTGTTTAAACAGAAGAGAAAGTGCCTGTGTAGCAACGTAAATATGATGATGAAGACAAGAGCCCCTTCTTCAATCACAATAGGCTTTGAATAATTCTGGAAATAAAAAGTTATTGCATAGGTTTTTTTTGTGTGCTTTTTGTTGATATTATTTAATCCTACAGAATATCTGCAGAGACATTCTGGGAGAATGAAAGTGATCTAGAAATTATAAAGTTTGGACCATTTCTTTAAGATACAAAGCCAAGAGATAATCTTTCTAAAGTATGTTCAAATATAATAACAGGATTTTTTTTCCTAATGACATGTAATTCTTGCTTCAGAATATACATTCTACCTTGAAACCAAACTATATCTGGATCTATCATCAATATAGGTGGGTTTCATTTCCTTCTGCTATCCTGGAAGTAGACACCTATTACCTTTCAAGACTTAATGGAAAAATTATCCTGCTTTTTACATAGGAGAGCTGTCTGTTAAGGATTTACCCATGAGATAGTGATGTCGCAGGTTTTAATATGTATATGAATTTGATGTACATATGTCAGTTGATAACACTCCCATCTTTCTTTTCAGGAGCAGGAGAATCTGGAAAAAGTACTATTGTTAAACAAATGAAGTAAGTATATACTATTATAAATGTTTACTATTTAATATCTGTCCATCTATTTGACCATTTTAAAAATAAATACCTCTGGGAAATGTGATTGATAATCTAAATCTGCGACTTTCAACAGGTGTGCTGTGGCACACTGGCGTGCCACAAGAATTTTAAAAACATGCAACACTTGACTATTTAGTCAGGGGCACTGACCTCTTTTCCCTTAGATTGTCAAATAATAATAAAAAAATAACAACAGCCAACATAATAGTTATCCAGTGTGAATGCCCTGTATGAATCGTAAATATAGAGTTGCATCATATTGGCTACATCACATAATAACAGCGTCTTGATTGGTTAATTCTTGGTACCAGAAATCATTATATACAAGAATAGGCACCTGATTTTTTATTTTATTTTATTTCTTATTCTTGTTAATCCTCACCCAAGGATATTTAGACATCAATATGAAAGAAACATAGATTGGTTGTCTCCTGCAGGCGCTCCAACAGGGAATGAACCTACAACCCAGGTATGTGCCCTTGACCAGGAATCAAACCTTTAACCCTTCAGTGTGCAGGCCGATATTCTACCACTGAGCCACAGTGGCCAGGGGAGCACATAATTTTTAAAAAAAGTCACTTTGGAGCAAAAAGCGTAGGTTATTATTATTATTTCTTTGTAAATATATCAAAATTATATCTATTTTTTGTAATATTGGAAAAAAATGCAACTTTTTTTGGTGTGCTGCAGAATTTTAATAATTAGTTAATGTGAGCCATGAAATAAAAAAGCCTGAAGATTGCTGATTCAAATCACCCATAGTAGCAGAGCTATCACAATTTCTGTGTCAGTAATATTATAATTTTCACTTTTCTTTTAAATTTTGCATCTTCACAAGATGAATACCAAAAGCAGTTATAGTATAAATATATTAATCTGAGTATAAATAGAACTTTAATATTGTGGTCATAAGCCAGAAAGATTTTTAAATATGTCAGTCAATGATCCATTTGAATTTAGGAGAAAACTATTTTTAGCCTAATTAGTATTTTGCCTACCTGAGAATAAAATGCATATTTAAAGTTATGATTATTGTGGACTTAAATTTATTTTCTTTACTTTTTTCTCTTTATAATGAAATTAGAGGCCTGGTGCCAGGGGACATGGGGCGGGGGGGGTGTCCCTCAGCCCAACCTGCACCCTCTCCAATCTGGGACCCCTCGGGGAATGTCTGACTGCCGGTTCAGGCTAACTGCCTTTGCCTGCCAGCTAGATTGCCCCTACCTTGCCCCCTGCCAGCCTGATCGCCCCTAACCGCCTCTGTCTTGGCCCCCAGCCTAAGCCACAGTCTGGCCTCCCTCTGCGGGAGGTGACCTGGTGGATCAGGGGAAGGCGCCACCCCCATTACCCCGTTGCTGCTGCCACTGCTGGCCTGAGCCTGGCCCTGGTAGCCACTGAGGCTTTGTCCCGAAGGACATCCACCCTAATTAATATATTACCCTTTTATTAGTATAGATAAGTACACCTGCATTTCTTAATACTGAGATAATGAACACAAAAACTCTATGAATCCAGAATGTGATGCCTAAATAAATAAAATGGCAATTGATAGGTGGAGATAAATATGTGAAATTTCATGGCTCTGTCACTGCTGGAGAATTTTGAAGGACAATTGCTGCTATAGGAGAAGATGCTAATCATTTTAGCACATTTCTAATTAAATTTTCAAGGATTTTGTTCTTCAGCACATATCATGAGGGAATGTTTCCAATGAATGATGAAATTGTCTATAATCTACACCACTGTTTTTTCCCTTATTTCTGAGTAATGTGATGTGAGTTCCATATTGGTTCCCATATCAACCAATATTTAAAACCCACTTTTGAATGCTGTCACCTATATCTGTAACTACATGTTTGACCTTTTGAATGCTCCTGTCTTTGAAGTTCAGAGTTCCTTTATCCAGATCACTGCTCATATTGCTTTCGGGTTCTCAGATCCATCCCTGCACCCAGTCATCTTGTATTTCTTTATAATATTACCACTATGTTCAACTGTTTTTTTCTTGCAGGTTATAATCATGCTTGAATCCCTCTTATCCTTCTTACTTTTGCACTCTCTATAAAGTAAAGTGCAGTAAGAAAAGATATGACCATTGGGCTATATAAAAATTAAAACTTTTAAATATATTTAACCATAAATAAAATTAAAGAGAAAATAGAAAATTTGAAAACAATTATAATAAATAATTGAATACCATAATATGTAAAGAGCTATTAATTGTTAAGAAAAACAATTAGCTGCCCAATATATATAAATGTGAAGAGACTATGAACAGACCGTTTATAAGACAAAATTCAAATATCTATTAAATATATATACATATATATTTAGTTTAACCTCACTAATATAAAAAAATAAACAATAATGAGCTGTTTCTCATCTTAGTAAATTAGCAAACAATAATTGCAAAGTAATATTATTTAATAAGAGTGATGTTTTGAGAAATAAATATTTCTTATTACTACTTGTAAACTTGTTACGGCAAGTTTATAGAAATAATTTTGGCAATTATGCACAATAAGTTGATAAAATAATTATTAACTTTTTAAACATATTTTTGAGAATTTTTAATAATACAATAATTTAAATATAAAAAGATATGAAAATAAAATAATATAAATATTAAAATGTATGCACAGAGACATATCCACCTTATTTCAAATATTGAAATACAAGATAGGATAAAATACCCTAAATTAAAATTAAACATAATCAAATAGTTTGTGAAATCATGGGATTATTCACCTTTAAGATTTTGTGTCCATTATAAGTTATATGTATATGAAAAAAAATTTAATAAAAGAAAATACTAATGTTAACTGAAAAACCAAGATATAAAATTGCATAAACAGCTGTAGTTCAACAATGACAGAATAGATAATGTTTCTCCTGGTTCTGCCCCATCTCTCCCTCCTCAGAGTCTTTTAGGAATAGTCAACATGTTCACTGGCTAAGGTCAGAGGCTCTAAAATCAGATTGCATTTGCTGCCCAGTTGTACCATAAATGAAGTTAAGGCTAGTTAGTCAATGTATCTGACTACTTTTCTTACCTGCAAAATTTAGATGATCATTTTACCTACTTTAACAAGCTTTTTGCAAAAAATGAGAAGAGAAGGCAAATAGAGCACTTAAAACAGTGTGTGGCACATACTGAAAGCTTGGTGACTGTGAGCATTGTATTTGGTCATACTGATTCTTCTGCCTCGGTTACTCTCTTCCTCTTGATTATCTGGAAATAACTGTTTATGCTAGAAAATTCAACTGTCTATCACTGCTTCCACCCTGATCCCTCACTCCCAATAAAATGTATCACTTTTTCTTCTCTAGTGCATTGCACCATGCGGAGGTTGTTGCTACACATAACCACACTGTACAAAAATCAGATATGCTCTCCCTTCCTATAATCCAGTAGTCTCTAATAGAACTTTCCAGGGTGATAGAGAGGTTATATAGCTGTACTCTTCACCATGGTAGCTCCTAGCCCAGCAGTTCTCAACCTGTGGGTCGCGACCCCTTTGGGGGTCGAACGACCCTTTCACAGGGGTCGCCTAAGACCATCGGAAAACATATATAATTACATATTGTTTTTGTAATTAATCACTGTGCTTTAATTATGTTCAATTTGTAACCATGAAAATACATCCTGCATATCAGATATTTACATTACCATTCATAACAGTAGCAAAGTTACAGTTATGAAGTAGCAACGAAAATAATTTTATGGTTGAGGGTCACCACAACATGAGAAACTGTATTAAAGGGTCGCAGCATTAGGAAGGTTGAGAACCATTGTCCTAGCCACATGTAGGTATTAAGTACTTTATTGGGGCTGGTGTGATTGAGGAATTAATTTTTAATATCTTTTAATTTGAATTAATGTGTCTAGTGACTAGTCTATATTTTGGGGGGTGGGGGAAAAAAAGGACTTATTTAATTTATTCATTTTCTTCAGTGCATAATATAATATATTACAGAAAATGCCCAGTAAAAGCTTATTAATTTGAACAGAGCTAGGAATTAACTTGCAGGTAGAGAGCTCTCTTTCACAGAAATACATTTGTGCAGCTCAAAACAAGTTACTTCAAGTCCCACTGCAGCTGGACTTTTTAAAGTCTGTTTTTGTCATTTGCTTTGTGATAAATGTTTCCTTTTTCAATGCTGAAAGGAAAGGGATCAGTACTTGTGCCAGGAAGAAAATCTAAATGACCCCTATTTGTAATTGGCATTCTGATTTAATAATTAAAATAATTTTCCAATTTTAATTTTTGACTAAGAATTGGAATTTCTTTAATAAATTTATTCCTAATATATCCACAAAAATATTTTACTGCATTTTCTATAGACTTTAATTGACTACTTAATTTAATTGTTTAATATGTCAAGATAAACATGGCCATATTTACATTACAAATAACAGCAATTATTGGCAATAAGATATTAAAAGTAGAAGAGATATAGGTACTGTCTCTACCCCTTTCACTGCAGAATCCATTTAAAGATTTTAATATCTTGGGAGATAGTGTGATCTTCCCACCCCCCCACCCCCATGCTAAAGTCTCTAGGTAAATGGATACAACACAAATCTTTAATAACATGACATCCAGAATAATGCCTAATGGGCACAAAGCATTTCCAAAACAATGAGAGAGAAAAACTAACTAAAAGAAATAAGAACACATTATGCAATAAAGAAGCAATAAAGTAATTAGCATACGCAAAGATTTTAGCTTTTAATAGGTAAATCTATTTTAATCTATTTCTAAAACTATTGTAATATTTTTGAGTTCTAATTGAATGAGTGGAAGGAAAAGAAGAGTTCAGCCAAATTAAATGTCTGAGCATTTCAGCTTTGATTACTCAGTGGCACGCATGTAGTGTGACAGGAATTTAACAGCCAGGAATTACCTACATTAAAAAAAGATGCCTTTGTTACTGCTCTAAATAGAAAGCACACACTCCTATTTTTTAGAGTGTCTTAAGTGAGAGGAAAAGACATGAATTTCATACTAACTTACTTCTTTTCCTCTAGATAGCATGTGTAAACACTACTTACGCAACTTTTTCCTGGAAATCTGGGCGTTTTTTCTCTTGAAAAGAAATAAGCTTTCTAAATAAAATGTTCATGATTTTCCCATTTTTAATAGTGCTTTATCTAGAGCAAATCCTAAGTTGTCTTTATATTTAGCATTAGGAAATCAGAAAGAAAATATTGTACTAAACCCAAATGATAATAAAAATCCAAAAACCAAAAATATATTGTTCAGATTTAGCATATATATGGACAAAATTCTTCCTTTTTCAATAAATATATACTTTTATTCAAGCAAATTATTATTATGTTTTAGTATTTTTAAAAAATCAATCGTTTGGCTCATGAAAGCTTTTCATGTTTAAATTATAGGATCATCCATAAGAACGGTTACAGTGAGCAAGAATGCATGGAATTCAAAGCAGTAATTTACAGTAATACATTGCAATCTATCCTAGCTATTGTGAAAGCCATGACCACCCTCGGGATTGACTATGAAAATGCCAGAAGTGCAGTAAGTATGCTAATAATCACAGTTTTATGTCCTACAATGGAGCATGAGCGATAAAATAGTAGGACTTAATAAGCTTGTAGTAATAATCTATACCAAAAATTTAAGAATATGAATTTTAGAAACATCAATTCTGTTTCATGTAAGATTTCCAATTTTCTTTTAAATGAAATTTTTCTTTTATAACCTTATTCAACATTATCTATTCCTAGAAGTAAAACTTAATATCCAATAATATGCTATATTAGAGAAAAATACTGCTTATATTTGCTAAATACAAAAGAGTTTATTCCATAAAATCAAACTGTAAGATCTTTACCTTTATTTTCTTAGTTTCATTGTGAGTCATTTCATGGAGACTTTATTCTTAATAAAAACACTGCAGTTATTATTTCTCAGTGATCATTACAAAGACTCCGTGGCATGGAACCGATTATTTAATAATGTTATGTTTAAAAATAACTCAAAATTATGTGATTAAAATGTTTCTATAGTAAATATACTCAAGTAGTCATAGTTTTGTTATTAAGATAGCAACTAAGTAGTTTCATTTTTCTTCTATTTTCTATTTTGTAATGTAATTATTTTATGTTAAAATACATTTAAAATCAACTTGTTTTAAAACAGTTTGTGTGCAAGCATATAAAACCATTTTAGTTGACAAACAAAGCGTGTAGTATTATCCAAAGAACAATAGTTAGCCACACCCCAAAAAGGGAGTAACTGTATACAATTCTTAGGAAGAACTCACCCATTTCCCTATCCCCTCTGGGAGCAGCTGGTTGCATCCGATGACAATTGAATTGTTCTCAAAGTAATTCTTAGATACCTTGATATATGAAAATAAAAACAGAGAAGAACAGTATAGTAAGCACAAAGGAAAAAAGCGACATTTGTACTTTTCCCCATTTTCCCAGTAGTTTAGACCATGTAAAGGACCATTGGAAGCGGTTAGGATGAAAAGAAAAATATCTCATGCTAGTATTTTTTCCCCTATTTTTCTTAAAGCATAGTTGACATACAATATTACACAGGTTTCAGGTGTACAGCATAATTATTCAATGTTTATGCACCTTATGAAGTGATCACCACATTTATCTAGAAACTCTCTGTCACTGTACAAAGTTAATTTGATGCTATAGATGATATTCCCTATGCTGTACATTGCATCCCAGTGATTGATTGATTTTGTAACTGGAAGTTTGTAACTCTTATTCCCCTTCCCCCTAGTTACTCCTCCCCACAGATAGTGAAATCATAACCTATTTGTCTTTCTCTGACTTATTTTACTCTAAGTCCATCTATATTCTTACACATGGTAAGGTTCCATTTTTTATGACTAACATTCCATTATACATATGTGTGTAGATGTGTATGTTTTATATATGTGTGTGTGTGGTGCATAAAAAAACAACTGTTTGATTCATTTTTCTATTTATGGACACTCATGTTGCTTCCATATCTTGGCTATTGTGAATAATGCTGCAATGAACATAAGGACGCATATATCTTTCCGAATTAGTGTTTTTGTTTTCTTCTTGATAGCTACCCAGTAGTGAACTTACTGAATCACATAGTAGTTCTATCTTTTGGTTTTCTGAGGAAGCTCATGCTACTAATTTTAAAGAATACAGTAAATTCCATTTAGCTCTGCCTCTTCCTGACAAAGAGCACGGAAATGTCCTTGGGGCAAATCCTTTGCAAAGTGGAGTCAGGAGTTCTGCTAGGCTCTCCTTCCTTTACAGCGTAACCCAGAACTCGGCTCCAGTAAGTCACCTACTTTTCTAGGTTACAGTTTTTCTCCTTCATTAAAAGGGAAACTTGCAAGAAATGAACTCCAAACATCCTTACTGTCTTTATCATCCTAAGATGTAGTGCTCACGTTGTTATTCAAGGGTAGTTTAGTTTTCACTCTGACTGTCTTTTCCTATAAACCTAGGATGTTGAACTGGCCCTTAAAAGCCAACCTGAACTAACCCTTTTACTTAAAGATGTGAAAAAATAAGAGTCACAAAATAAGGGATTGGCCTCCCTTCAATTGCTGGAGCTTAGAGCAAAACCCACTTCTCCTGGCTTCTATTAGATTACTTCTTCCTATGCAAGGTATTTTGTAAAAATACTTGTAGTAGTTATTTTCTTTCTTCTAAGCAGTAATAATTCCCCAAATAGGTGTTCTTTCTGCATTCATTTGAGAATAATTTACTGTTTTAATTTGCATGTGTAATATTCCATATAGTTGCATCACTGAAATTGGAAATCACAACCTTGCCTATTGCTACTTATTTAAATACTAGGGGTCCAGTGCACGAATCTGTGCACCTTGAAAGGAACTGTGGGCCGAGAGGTTGTGGTGGGCACAGGGGCAGGTTTCAGCCCATCCTCTGCGCCCCTGCCCAGCCCCTCCTACCATGGCCCCCAGCCCCGTCTGCTGGCAGCCCCGCTCCCACTGCCACCGCTCCCATGTGCTGATGTGGCACCAGCCCCACTCACATCCGCTGAGTGGAGCGATTGGGGCCAGCGCCAGCAGCAAGTGTGAGCAGGGCTGGCGCCAGCAGCAGGTGTGAGCGGCGGCTGCTGCTTTAATCACCCTTCAGGACCAGGCAGAGGTGGAGAAGCCCTCAGGGGTGATCAGGGCCAGCAGCCATCACTCGCACCTGCTGACGGCACTGAGTGATTGGGGCCAGTGCTGGGCGCTGGCAGCAGATGTGAGCTCCAGGCAGGCCACAGCATGCAGGAACAAAGAATTTTCAATAACCACCAGAGGCTCACCTGGATGACAGCAACCAGTGCTCTGCCTTGGTCTGGCGCCCCCGCTCACTTGCTCTCCCATCCCGCCACGGCTAACGCCTGCCATGTTCTGCATGCGCCCCCTGGTGGTCATGTCATAGCGACTGGTTGTTTGGTTGTTCTGCCGTTTGGTCTATTTGCATATTAGAGTTTTATACAGAGAGATATTGTGTGCTTCATATAGCCCAGTGTTTGCAAAGAGGTGATTCCAGCAATCACTAAAGACCTGAAATCTGTTGGTTAAAAGTCTTAATGATCTGGTATTCAGGTGGAGTGAAGATAATAGATTCTGTACATTGCTGCCATTATTGCTAACTGAAAAATAAAAGAAATGTAATTTATTCAAAATGTGCATTGAATGGGAAAAAAAACAGATTAATTTAAGCAGCACTAAGCAACTGGCACAACATCTCAGGAGTAACTATGTTCTCAAGTATTATCACCATTGTCAGGCACTACACAGCTCATATTTTTATTTAAACTAACATAAATGATAGCGGTTTCAATCACACCCTTTAGTATTTGATTTTAGGATTAATGCATTTTATGCATCTCACTTAAACTGTGTATTCAACAGATTAATTGCTAAGCACTTTACCTATGTGTACAATTCAGAGTTCTGATTTCCTACAGCTTTCTCTTTATCTTTTTATTTGTTTATTTATGCCAGGTTATATATTCTTTTTTTTTTAATATATTTTATTGATTTTTTACAGAGAGGAAAGGAGAGAGATAGAGAGTCAGAAACATTGATGGGAGAGAAACATTGATCAGCTGCCTCCTGCACACGTTCCACTGGGGATGTGCCCGCAACCCAGGCACATGCCCTTGACCGGAATCGAACCCGGAACCCCTCAGTCCGCAGGCCGACGCTCCATCCACTGAGCCAAACCGGCTTCGGCGCCAGGTTATATATTCTTACATAGCCATTGTACATTATCACACAGATTGCCATTCAAAGAGGAAAAGAGTCTTAACCAAAAATTTACATGAGTTTTTTGGTTACTGATTTCTTAAGTTTAGACCGGTTACTTAATGTCTCTAATTTCAGCTCCCTTACCCACAAAATATTAGTGCTTTCCTTACTGAATTATAATGACTATTGTGAAATGAAGGAGAAACATAAGATATACATTTAAATACCAAGTATTGCAAAATGTAAGCTCCCAGTAAATATTATATATAGTAACCTTTTAGTAATCACTTTGAATATAGGCAAATTAAAATGTATTATTTTATTCTGCACATCTAACATGTACCTGAGTTGCAGGCCCCGACACATGTGGGAGCCAACCAGTTGATGTGTCTCTCCCCCTCCCTTCCACTCTAAAAATCAATGGAAAAAATATCCTTGAATGAGGATTAACAAAAAAAAAAAAAAAAAAGAAAAGAAAAAAGAAAGGGGGCTTGTTTTTGTTTTGGTTTAATATCTAATAGACTGACTTCAGGAATATAGAACTTGTAAAGAGAATAAAGCTGAAGAAACAAGACAGGGCAGAATAAAGGCATTTAATAAATTTCCATTTACCCTTTATGAATATTATTAGTGACCCAGTGCACAGTATCATATGCAATAGGCTGCCCACTGCTTCCGTGGGAGCCGGCGGGAGCCGCAGTGCGCCTGAGAGCACTGGTGGGAGGGAGCCGTGCCACTTCCACGGGAGGCGGGAGGGATCTGTGCCAATTCTGCAGGATCGGAGGTGGGGAGGAGGGACCTAGAGGTAATCCATGCGTGCGCAGCCTGTTGAACTGTCATTACTGTGACGCCATAACAGACAATTTGCATATTACCTCTCTCTCTCTCTCTCTCTCTCTCTCTCTCTCTCTCTCTATATATATATATATATATATATATATAAAATATTCTACTTTAGAACTTCTGAAACATCCAGTAAACCAGCATTAAAGAATGTTAAAAGTTATAACACTTTTATCACACAATCTGGGTGTTTTTGAAACTATTTTTGACATAGCACCCTGCAAAGTGAACCCTACACTCTGAACCAAAGAACATATATTCCTGAAGATGGTCTATGATACAAGTTCTGTGATCAAATAAGTCAGGGATACTTACATACTATTACAACTTCTTGGAAATTTGCAAACAATATTAGTTATCAAAGACTCTAAAAATCTGAAGCAACAAGCTTGGAACTTTTAAACAGGTATTTTCCCAAATAACTAAATTATGATATATTTTCCTTCATTTGATAGATACATTTTTTTCAATCTTTGGAATTATGAGTCTAGGGTTCAGAATGCATATTCATGTGGTTCTAGAATCTAGGACCATCTCAAGTCCCTAATATTGATGAGGAAGTTCTGGGTAACCTGTACAGAAAATATATATTTTGCTTTCTAAGCAATAATCCCTAAACTATGCAACCTTGAATTGGCCATTCTAGAAACACCATAATTTCCATGCCTTTCCAAATAAATTATAAAGAAATAAAATTTCTTCAGGATGCCACTCATTCCCACTTGGGACTATAGAAAAAAAAATGTGGGAAATTATTGGAGGTTCCATTAAAGTTTCCCTACAAGTGTGGTCTGAGATAATTAATATATTTATTTTATCGATTCATTCATTCAACAATACTTCAGAGGCATGAACTATGTATTAGATTCTCTTCCCAGTCTTAAGGATGTAGAAGTGAACAAAATAATGAAATCTCTGCCTTCAAGTGCTTAAAGTATAATATAAAAGATACAGAATAAAGACGTGTACTATATAAGTACTTATAAGTACTATGAAAAAAAATCAAGGAGGGCAAGGGGCTAGAGAGTAATAGAAAAAGGATGGCCATAGATGGCACGCATGAGGGGATGGTATTTGGGAAGAGACCGAATGAAGCAGGAAGTGAGCAACAAGGAAGACGTGAAATGGGGGCTTGGTGAGTTCAAGAAAGAGGAAGGAGTCCTGTAGTTCTTGAGGAAATGGGGAAAGGGAGAGAGGGTGAGAGGAGGAAAGAGAGAAATAAGTATAAAAAAGAAAGGCATGAGTCAAAAATGTAGAGTCGTGTGAGCAATAATAAGAGATTTGAAAATACTGAAGTTTTGAAAACATGGGAGTAAGATAAGCAGTAGGAGTCCAGTTTTCAATCCATTTGGATGTTCTGTAAAAGACAAGTTCTCATTAGTACCTGTGTTATATATTTTAAAAATTCAAATGTGTTTGGTGGACCCAAGCCCTTAAACAAATGAATTTTTGATTCTTTAAATTACCGTGTTAGCCCTTTAGCAACTGAGGAATAACTTCAAGAATGGATATGCAGTATGTCCAATAAGACATTACTTATGTGATTTAAAAAGACACCAAAAAAAATTCTGTATATTTATTCTTTTTTTTTTTTTTAATATATATTTTATTGATTTTTTACAGAGAGGAAGGGAGAGAGACAGAGAGTCAGAAACATCAATGAGAGAGAAACATCGATCAGCTGCCCCCTACACATCTCCCACTGGGGATGCGCCCGCAACCCAGGCACATGCCCCCGACCGGAACCGAACCTGGGACCCCTCAGTCCGCAGACCGACACTCTATCCACTGAGCCAAACTGGTTTCGGCTGTATATTTATTCTTAACTCAGTCCTCACATTTGAGTCACAGGAGAAATTCCTTAAAATACCTTGGCAGAAATTGACATCAGAGATTCTGGATCATCTTGTTTGTGTTGAGGTCCTGGTATCAATATTGTTAAGAAGTGCTCCATGGGCTTATCATGTACAGCCTGGTTTGAAAATCAACTCCATCAACTTCAGTTATGAATGCAATAAAATAAAAAAACTCAAGATCTCAAAATACAAAAGCCAAACTGATAGGATTGCTTGCTCTTGGGGGAGATAATAGGATTGATGTATTGGTCAAAGAGGACTTTGTGACATTTAAATGCTCAAGGTGAGACTATGTTCATGATATCTATACCAACAAAGCATATTTAAATTAAAATGGAAAATTTTAAAGAGAAATGGAAGAGTTTATTAGCATGGTTTATAAAGGTACTAGAGGCCCGGTGCACAAATTCGTGCATCAGTGGGTTCCCTCGGCCTGGCCTGTGGGATCAGGCCAAAACTGGCTCTCCAACATCCCCTGAGGAGTCCCAGATTGTGAGAGGATGCAGGCCAGGCCGAGGGACCCCATTGGTGCACAATCAGGGCTGGGGAGGGACACAGGAGGATGGCCAGCCAGGGAGAGGCTGCAGGAGGGCTCCAGGGCATGTCCAGCCCATCTCACTCAGTTCCAATAGGCCAGACCCCAGCAGCAAGCTAACCTACCAGTTGGAGCATCTGCCCCTCGGTGGTCCATGTTGGAGCATCTGCCCCTCGGTGGTCCATGCACGTCATAGTGAGCGGTTGAGCAGCCTTAGCATATCATTAGCATATTACGCTTTGCTTGGTTGAACGGACGATCGACTACCGGACACTTAGCATATTAGGCTTTTGTTATAGGATACTAACAAGGCATGTAGTTTTTCCCCTTTATGGACAAAACTGTTTGAGCAACTGTCTCATTCCATCATTTCTTCTAAATGGCATTTTTATAGTGGAAAGAGGCAAATGAGATAATGTCAGCAAAAGTGGCTGCATCATATTTTATTGGCTTTGGAGTTCTCTCTCATAGCCAAATAATCAGGAAGAAGTATTTAAAACTTACCCAATGCTGATGCAAGAAAATGGGGTTTAAACTTCTGATTTAGCCACTTAAAAATGTTGGCCTAATGGTCATTTGATCAGTTTGGTTTGGCAATAAAATCTCAATGTGAAGAAAGACAAAAATAAGGTTTTTAATCTTAAGAAAGCCTCTCTCTAACATTGAGAAACATACCCTTATGTTTCTCAGCAGGTTTTTAATAAAACAGTGAAATAAACGTGGCATCAATTTACAATAAGAACAATAAATTAAATTGTATCAGAAAACCAGCAAGTTCTTATTGGACATACTCCTAACATTTCACAAAATATATTTGGGTCTGACTCTTCTTCTGATGCTTATTTTCTTTATTGGCTCATCAAATTAAGCACTGACTCTTAGATTCCTCATTTGTAAAATGGGAAAAAATATAGTGTCTATGCGACTGTTTGTGAGGATTGTGTGAGATATTACATGTGCTGTCTTATAGTATAAGAATATGTACAGGAAAGAGTAAGGGCTTTGGAATCAGACAAGGAGAATATGAGCCCAGACTTCATTTGCCTGGTCTATATTGGTCAACAATTGTGAAATTCAAATTCTTATTCTTAAAATATTTTTGTTACAAAACAGACTTGATAGGTTAGGTAAACTGTGGACTGTATTATTTACTCAGTGTACTTTTACATCTGCTCTTGTCAACTCCAAATATTCTATCAGGACTAACACAATTTTTGCTTTCTTCTCTATTTTCCTTTCTCTTTTCCTCTTTTTTTTTTCATTGTCTTAACTCTGCCCTATTACTTTGCCCCCAAAGGCATGCAATTAACAGCACTACATTGGACATTCAAAAATTTTGAGTATATTTAAATGTTTACCATTAGTAATATGATCACAAAGAGGTACATGATGGCAAATAATATTGTATATCAATTTTTCAGTATGATTTTAGAATACTGAGTTTTATTTTTCATTTCTCTAATTCTTATTTGATAGTTTTATTTCCTAGGGAAAAAATGTGGCCATTATCAAAGGAATACTATGTGCCAATTTAGATCAGATCCATTACCCTTTTATGAGCATTTGACCATCTGAGAGCTCGATGGATTTATACCACGCTATTGTTATCCCTTTTTACATCATAATCAAAACTTAATGATTTATAGCAAAATATATAACAAAATATCCTATCTTTTTATGATAATACTTAAATCTATTAATTTTTGCAATGGAGAACTCTTTTGGCCAGTGATCATAAGGCACTTTAGATATATTGTTTACACGTTCAATGGAATTATTACCTAAAGAAATAATATAAAATCATCCAATTTAAATGTTCTCTTTAAAAAAAAGAATATGTGATTTCAAATAATGACACATTTTTATTCTTTTCATAAAAACATTGCCATAGGAAGACCAAAGACAACTTTATGTGATGGCAAATGCCCTAGAAGATGGAGGAATGACGCAGGACCTGGTGGAGGTAATAAAACGTCTGTGGAGAGATCCGGGGATTCAGGCCTGCTTTGAAAGGTCAGCCGAGTATCAGCTCAACGATTCAGCAGCTTAGTAAGTGAATACATTTCTACAGGAATCGCAGTGGAAATATTTACAATTAAGAATTATAACTGTGTATTCTGCACTCATACTCACAAATAAGAAAAATAAATGGCTTTTCTATTTATTATACTAAAATAAAAAGTAATTCAAGAGAAATAAAAAAGATCAAAGTGATGTAAATGAGATGCAAAAAAATATAACCAGGGGAGCATCCTACATAATAAATCCCTAATATGCAAATCAACCAAACAGCAGAACGACCAGTTGCTATGACATGCACTGACCACCAGGGGCAGACACTCAATGCAGAAGCTGCTCCCTGGTGGTCAGTGCACTCCCACAGGGGGAGCGCTGCACAGCCAGAAGCCAGGCTCACTGCGGGCGAGCACAGTGCTAAGGAGCTGCGAGCTGAGGGGTAAGAAACAGCAAGCAGGTGGGCGGTAAGAAGTGAGGGGTCCTGGACTGCGAGAGGGTGCAGGCCAGGCTGAGGGACCCCTCTCCCACCCCACCCTACCCCCAGTGCACGAATGTCATGCACCAGGCCTCTAGTTTTAAATAACTAATTTTGAAATTATTTTCCTGAGAAGATCTATATGTTTTAAATATGTTTTCAAGACCAGTCAGTGTGGCGCAGTGGTTGAGTGTCGACCTATGAACCAGGAGGTCACTGTTGGATTCCAGGTCAGGGCACATGCCTTATTATACCTGTAGCAGTTGCAGCTACCAAGATTATTCACTGATAGTGGCAAGCAGAAATTTAGGGGGGGGAAACTCAGTTCCTTTAAGAAAGCATTTAATCTCTGAACTACCCTGGAACTGCTCTATAACTGGATTACTGATGTTATGTAAGATTAAAGAAAAAAAATCCTTGTGCCCTACCCTGTTTGGCTTAGTGGATAAAACATTGGCCTCAGGACTGAAAAGTTCCCGGTTCGATTTCAGTAAGGGGCACATGCCCGGATTGTGGGCTTAATCCCCAGTGGGGGTGTGCAGGAGGCAGTCCATCGATGGTTCTCTTTCATCATTTATGTTTCTATCTTTCTATCCTTCTCCCTTTCTCTCTGAAATCAATAAAAATATATATTTTTTAAACAGACAATTGAGTACTAATTCATTAATATATAAATAGCTAGCTAGCTAGCTAGCTAGATAGATATGTTCTCTCCAAACTAAAAAGAATTAATTATTTTGCGTCATGCTCAACATAAACACAGCATGGTGACATGCACACTAAGGTTGGGCTATTCATTTCATCTCTATTCATGTTATTGAAGTCATGGTCTAAGGTAATCAGATTAATGACACATGCTTTGATTCAAAGAGTTCTAGAAAAAGTAGTGTATTAATATTCACAACACTGGTACATTGTGGAATTCTTGTTTGAGTCTCAAGAAAGACTATATAATTTTCATAGCTCTCATCCAGTTTGCAGTTATCAGCAACAAGGAAATTAGGAAGTTGTGACATTATTTATAACTGCATTATCAAAATGATTTTAGGTTTCCATTTTAGTAACTGGTTCTTATCTTATCCCATGGTCACATGCCTACAAGTATGTGTGTGCATGTATGTAAATATAGTTTCATTACATATTCTATATTTCTGTCTATGCATATTAATATGTAAAAGATATAAATACAGTCCTTTTGATGACCCCCAAACACAACATGCCTTGCGTAAGGAAAAAAACAACAGTAATGTGAAAGTGAAACAAATTGAAGATTATTTGAGGACAGAACAATAAAACTTGCATGATCTTCAGATTTTTGATCATGATGGGCAGAAGGACTATGGAGAGAGAAAGAAACATAAATTCTAGAAAAAGATCAGTCTTCTGTGATTATTCATTTATGTTCATTTTAAATCCCAAACCCAATGGGTGCATTGTCCCTTATCAACTCTTGTCTCACTGATGAAGTAGAGAATGAATATCATCTTATTATTATATGAGCTTACATAACTGCTTTTATAAGTTTCCCAGTACATATTCACATTTTAATACTAAGAGGGTTGTCGGTAGTATAGAAAAATATTGCTTTTTTATATGAATCATTGATAAAAAGCAGTCAAAATTAATAAGAAACTGAAATATGGAATATTTTCATTAAAAATTAGTTAGCAAAGTTCAAAAATGGGAGGAAGGAAAAGTTAGATAGATAAATAAATGATAGAAAGCTGTTACTAGTTTTAGATACACATTATTGTTTAATATAATTTTCCCTTAAAATGTATTTATAATTATATTATATGTTTACCAAGTTCTTTGCTCTTGAATAGCAAAAAGTATGTACATATCGTAGACAAAGTGAGCAGACAAAATGACTTTTTTTGTATTTTCTAGTTTTTTTCTTTTCTTTTTTTTTTTTTAAATATATTTTATTGATTTTTTACAGAGAGGAAGGGAGAGAGACAGAGAGTTAGAAACATCGATGAGAGAGAAACATCGATCAGCTGCCTCCTGCACATCCCCCACTGGGGATATGCCCGCAACCCAGGTACATGCCCTTGACCGGAATCGAACCCGGGACCCTTCAGTCTGCAGGCCGACGCTCTATCCACTGAGCCAAACCGGTTTCGGCTGTTTATTTTGACACATAAAATGTGTTTTGTACTGGGACTATCACAATATGGATTCATATTAAGAGCAATGTACCTGTTCTTCAAGCTAAACACGAGTACACAATATCTACTTGCAGTAGAGTAACAACAGGAAAGTTGATTCCACCCACATAATACACCCCATGTCTAAAAATGATTTCAGATAAAATCAAGAGAAATTAAATATTAACATTTTTGTTCTTAGGGATCCTTTAAAGAATGATTAAGTAAAAACTTGCTCAGAAAAATAGCTGAATTACTCTTGTTTTCTTCCAAAAACTAACAGATTTTTCTAAAATACTGAATGACATTCAATTTTTAAAACTAGTTACTATAATATCAAATCAGTACCATATTCATGTATATTTCAGAATCATTATATAAAGCAATGGTCTCTTTCTCTTCCTCTCTCTCCCTCCTCTTTCTTCTTTTTTTTCCTTTCCTCTTCTCTTTACTTCTTCCCTCCCTCCCCGCTTCTCTCTCCCTCCCTCTACCTCCCTCCTTCCCTTCTTTTCTTCCTTCCTTTCTCTATCTGTCTCTTTTTTTGTGTGTGTGTGAGAGATATTTGTTATCCTCTCAAACATAGATACCATTCAAAATGAAGCTAATAGAGATGAGTCCTAAGCAGTGCAAGGAAAAAGAATACTGTTTGTTGGCAACATAGCACCTCCCCCATCACTACTAGCACACTGATGGAAAAGCATCATGACAGTGGCAAACAAGGGAAATACTTTAATTAATATTTGATGATTTACTCATTGAGACTAGTGTGTTATTGAAATTGCATATGTTTTAAGATTTAACATAGACTTGACCAGAAAAAAATGGTATTTTTACATGATTAAAAAATTAGATATTTTTAAGTGATTTGTCTTATATATATTTAGGGCCTGTGGTTTGGTTTAAGATTTAGTCTACAGGTTTGAGCACCCAAATCATATATTTGTTTATAAAAACAAACATTTTAAATGCAAATCTGTCACTCTGCTAATGCTTCTGCTTTGCTTGAAATGATTTATATATACAAATAAAAGTACATTAAAATGTGACTACAAAAACATTCATTTGCCTATTATTAAAATAAATTAAATATCTATCATGGCAGGTATGTTTCTGTTTTGTTTCATTTTGTTTTTGCTTCTGCATGAATCAGTTGGCCAATAATATACCTACCACTGATATAGAATTTGTCCATAAAAAATGCACAAAGAAACTTGATTCACAAAATAGAAAATAGGTAAGCTAGAAAAATATTCCAATACTTCCTTCTGACATATTTATATCTTTGTTTTTCCTCATTTTTTTAAAGATAAATTAAACTCTGTTAGAATAAAACAGAGTGATATATTTGCACATTATTACATATATGTATTTCTGAATTGTGATTGTCTATTTGTCCTTGGCCAATTTTTGCCAATTCTAAGTTTATTTCCACTTAAAAGGAGAAAGACCCTTCAAGAATAAATTATCCATATTGCTGTTGGATTTATTTTTTTAACCAGTGATAAATAGCTTTGCTTTTGTAAGGCATTGTTCTAGATGCTAAGACAAACAGTTCCTCAACTTAGTCCCTGGAAATTTCAACTTTTAAATGATTAATATTCAAGTGGATCCTACCTCTTAAATTTTATCTGAATGGATGAAAACCCATCATGATCTTTCTATTTAAGCCATATGTGTAAACTTGATTCATTATACTGAACAATTTTGTCATAAAAACCTTACTGGTCTATTGCTACCTCTAACATTTTTCCAGAAATAGCCATATTTCTAAGCTACTAAAACCTTTGTATCAAAAATCTAGAACAGTGATTTTCAACTGCTTTTAAAGCAATAAAACACTTTGTTTTAGGATCTGGTTTCAAGGATGAAGCTAAGAGTAGTTTCTTTCCTCTAATCTAACAGATTCATCTTATAGAACATTGGGCTTAGTCAGATTTCTTCCTGCCTTTCGTCACTCCTAGACACCTTGAGCAGAAAGAGAACAGAATCATCCTGGTAATAGCAGGGTTTGAACAGTGGCCTCCAGAGATGAGTGTGACACACTGATGCCCTGAGGGAAGAGTGGAGGAAGTAGACGTGGGTGCAGTGTGTAGGTTCAGCTTTCTGTCCCCAGGAGTGCTACTGGCTCAGGGTGGGTCAGCAATTTCGTGAATTAGTTCCACTGCGGACAAGCAAGAAAGTCAAACATTTCTTCTTTTATTGGACTAAGTGGATACCGTCATGGAACTTAGTGAAATTTGTTCAGAACCCTAAGCTAGAAAAATCCATGGAAAACAACACAACAACTTTCAAATCATGATGTTAAAATCAATCACTCTTAAAATTCAGTGTCTAAAGACAAACTACAACATTTTGAGACTAGTCTAGTGATCGCAATTACAAGGTGACCGTTTTGGACGATGTAAGTCTAATAAAGAGAACTTTCCTCTGAAATGTCTGTCTACACACCGGCAAGTATATCCCATACACCTTATAAAATACAAGCAAAGGCAACGTTTATCTATCCGCTTTTAACAGTGTCCCTACCCGCACAGGTCAGCTGTGGACCACACTCAGCGCAAGGCAACATCCTTGCCACCAAGCTCTTAGAGTTCTGATGAGCAGAGTTTGAAAACCACCAATCTGGATTTTTATAAGTTTAATGGACTCTAAACAACAATAAAAAATCATTTACAAAATTAAAGATATATATATGCTATTGTGTTTTGTTTGTTTTTATTAGCTACCTTAATGATTTGGACAGAATAACAGCTCCTGGATATGTCCCAAATGAGCAAGATGTTCTACATTCTCGAGTGAAAACAACGGGAATCATTGAAACTCAATTCTCCTTTAAAGACCTGCATTTCAGGTATAAGCAAATATATTTTTACCTATTAATAAAAGACTGGTCATGCTCAATATTTCTGCACAGAGAAAAGCTCTAATTCATGTTCAAGTGCAGTGACTCCTTGGGAATGCTCATAGGCCTAGTTTACTTTCTTTCCCGCTGTCCTTGCCCGCCCGCCTATAGCCTCACACATGGACCCTCATCCTGAGCTACATCCTTCCCTCCGAGAACAGGTGGGAGCTAGAATTTACTTTCCTCGTACTTGAAACTGATATCCCACTTAAAAAAGAAAATATATTTAAATAACATTTAAGCAACAGGTGCTGGAGGTCCTATTTCCTTTGCCTTCCAACCCTCCCATTTGCTTGAAGTACTCTTATGAATTTACTTCCTTAATTTAAAAATGCAAATAACTGAGAAGAGAATTATTTGAATATGATGCTATTTACTGGAATAGCAAGGCCTACTTTATAAGTACGGTTTGGTTATGAAAACGATCCCATTCGTTCCATTGTCGTTGCATTATCAAGACCATCTTAGAAATTCTATTGCAATTGGACTTGAGCTACCAAAGGAAAACACTTCTATGATAGCAAGAAATAAAAATCCCTATTGTAGTGGTAGAAAGGGTCCCTTGAAACTTAAGCACTTCTCCCTACCAATTGTGGATAAGGTGAAAGATTAAGCATTAAAACCAGGTTCTACATGTATCCTTTAGTAATGAAAAAAAGTCAGTAAAGTATAATTAATAAAGTCATTCATGCATGCAGTAATAAGAATATTTTTGAAAAGTAGAAAAACTAGAAAAAAAGGTGACATTAATTATTTGTATTAACTTGTGGGGGAAATTCATTTTAGTGGGAAAATATTTTAAGGCATTTTAAGTATTAAAATTGGTAATACACAAATCTAATTACAATAGTTGTTACAGGATAATTTACAAGTTAGTGTGGAAGAAAGCTCTTCAAAATGTATCCCTAAATCTCAGGCCCACAAATAGTTAATTTTCTGAAAGGTGAGTGAAAGAGCAAACCAGGGTAAAAGGTCCGCAAAGACTGGGATTGACATCCCCTGTCGGTTAGGTGGTAAGCAAAGCTTATCTGCAGTCCTGTCATCACTATGGAGCATTTCCTCTTTGGCAACTACTTTCTCCAGTCTCCTGATCTGTGGTCTAGTTTCTGGGGTTTTCCTTTGGGAGCTCAACTCCAACTGCTCTGTCCTCTGCCTGCCCGAGGTCTCTCAAAGCATTTCTGGCACACTTGCCTTTTCTTTCTTACTCTCCTTCCTCCTCTCCACATTTCTCACTGAAACACAAAAGGTAGGTATAAGCCTTGAGTCTATTCCAAGTTTCCACCCCCAGGTTCTCCATTAAAGAACAGCGTTTGTTGAGGAACAAAGGCCCCTTTTCTTTACTTGTCTAATGAGTTTATTGTAAAGTCCTAGAAAAAAGTTATCACTTGATGTTAGCATGTCTTACATAAGCTAATAAAATTCCCCAGATCCTAGATTGTCTGGTTCATAAGTCAGTTATGAAAATTAATGTCACATATCAAACACCTAGAAGTTCGCAACCCTGGTCATTCTCAGAAACCCTGGTCTGTTACTATCTTCTCAGAAATAGGTAGGCACCATCATAAATTATCTTTTTTTATAAATAGCTGTTCGTCAAACATTCAAGGCACAGAGCCTCTGTACTTCCTGTTCTCTTTGCCTAAAATGTTCTGACCTTGGATGTCAGCAAGGACTGGCTCCTTCTTAAGTCCTCGAATCAAATGCTATCTCCTCAGCGAGCCTTGACCATCCTATCTATTAATCATCCTTGCATAGCCCTGTCACTACTACCCTCAGCAGTGTGCTGGTAAATGTATAAGAACAAGCTCTCGGGGGCAGGGAGATGCGGAAGGCTTATCTGTGGCCCTTTATTATTTCCTTGGTGTAAATAACCTGACAACATCCAATTTCAACTGACCAACATGTTGTCACTCATGTACAGTTGGGAAGAATTGCAAAGAAACAGCACTTAATAGCTACACCAATGTGAGCCGCCGTCCTATCATTGATATATTGAACTACATTTTTTTTTCTTTTGAAAAACCAATATATGAAATTGTTTCTTTATCAGTTCACTCTTTCTGTTTCTGTTTCTGTCTCATACACTCTGAGCTCTAGGAGGCCAAGGGCCGTGTCTGTTTACAGCTCTATCTTCCGTGATTATCAGCATGGCTAGCACAGAGTGAGCACACAGTCAGTTCCTGCTAGATGAATGCAAGTACTAGTTCAAACACTCTATGTACATTATCTTTACACCAAGAAATGGAAGCTACTAGTAAGCCCAGCCTGCGTGACTCAGTGGTTGAGCATTGACCTATGAACCAGGAGGTCACAGTTTGATTCCCAGTCAGGATACATGCCCCGGTTGCAGGCTTGATAACCCAGTAGGGGGCAAGCAGGAGACAGCCGATCAATGATTCTCTCTCATCATTGATGTTTATATATCTCTCTCTCTCTCTCTCCCTTCCTCTCTGAAATCTCTCTCTCTCGCTTTCTCTTTCTCTCTCTCTCTCTCTCTCTCTCTCTCTCTCTCTCTCTCTCTCTCTCTCTATATATATATATATATATATATATATATATATATATATAAATGGAAGCTAAAACTAGGTGAAAGATTTCCCCAAGATCATATATAGGAGTACTAGAAATGTGATTAGCATGCACACATTTCTAATTTCAAAAACTGCACTTCTTACACTGCATGTCACTGATGGGCTATGGATAAATTGGAATGGAAACTATTCTTTTTCTATAATGCATCTGGCATGTGCTTCTTCTAGTCTTGTTGGTCATTCATAAGTCCCTTCAGAGAGAAGAGGGGAAGGGGAATAAAGTCAAATGACAGCCTGTTGGGGGGATATCTCTGAGCTGGCAGCCCCGATGGGACTCGACAAGCCTGTGCTCCTAAAACCAGGGCACATGATGGCCAATGAGCTCACTAAACCTCAGAGGTCATGTTCATTTCCTGGAGAGGTCTATTGTGAGAAAAAATACATTTAAAACACTGTGTTATTTTTAAAATGCAAATGTATACTACTCAGAATATTTGCTTTATAAATTTATGAATATTTATATTTAGTTCTGAGTGAAATAGGTGTTCCAGGAAATGAACATGACTTCTGAGGTTTAGTGAGCTCATTGGCCATCATATGCCCTGGTTTTAGGAGCACAGGCTTGTCGAGTCCCATCGGGGCTGCCAGCTCAGAGACATCCCCCCAACAGGCTGTCATTTGACTTTATTCCCCTTCCCCTCTTCTCTCTGAAGGGACTTAGGAATGACCAACAAGACTAGAAGAAGCACATGCCAGATGCATTATAGAAAAAGAATAGTTTCCATTCCAATTTATCCATAGCCCATCAGTGACATGCAGTGTAAGCAGTGCAGTCTTTGAAATTAGAAATGTGTGCATGCTAATCACATTTCTAGTACTTCTATATATGATCTTGAGGAAATCTTTCACCTAGTTTTAGTTTCCATTTCTTTTTTTGCATATTAGGCTTTTATTATATAGGATAGGAATTTCTACACTACGCAACTACTACCTCTTTGCCACCCACTAAACCCACTTTTCAGCTCTTTTCTTAATAGGTTTTTCTTTCTCACTGACTCAAGAGGGTAAGTTATTAAAGGCATCTTCTATGAGGAAGAGAATGCAGGAAATTTCTCTACAAAATATTTAAATTTTACTATAAAAATATTAAAGAACACAGTTATACTTTTTATAGAAATCTTTTTTAAAATATATTTTTATTGATTTCAGAGAAGAAAGGAGAGGGAGAGAAAGGTAGAAACCTCAATGATAAGAGAGAATTGGCTGTCTCCTGCACAACTCCCACTGGGGATTGAGCCTGCAACCTGGGCATGTGCCTTGACCGATTCTGTTACCTCCTGGTTCATAGGTTGACGCTCAACCACTGAGCCACACCAGCTGGGATTTAGAGAATTCTTTAAAATCAATTAAATATGTTTTTAAGTTGAGTCAGAGCAATATTAATCCTTTAATAAATTCTCACAGTTAAGTCACCTTTTTTCCTTTTTTTGAAGTGCTGAATAAGATTATCTAAAAGCATACAGGCATTTGTAGTCTAAAATTTTGTAGTATTTCAAACAGGAAATATAAAAACAATGTACATTCCAATTTATTTCAGAAAGCGCCCAGGTATTTAAATATAGTGCATTAGCATTGATTTGTATTCACATACCATAAATTATCATATCACTATTTAAAAACCAAATACTTAATTTACATATTAAATTAGAGTATTCAGGAATTTTAAACAGGAACTTCAAAATGAAAAATTATCTCTGCCAATGTACTGTATCATTTTAATGTATCACCTAATTTAGTGGAAATTACCTTAGAGTTCTTATCAAACCAGAACGCCAACTGTCAAACTGATAAAATTAATTACCTTTACAGGTGTTAAAATACTGTGTAAATGGAAAATGCAATGCAAATGCGAGACCTCTTATTTTTGTAAAATAATTCCTCAGGACAAAGAACTTACAGATTTATTAGAATTTATTAAATAATTATAGAGAAGTCACTTTCCATGATTAAAAAACAATTGACAGAACATAAAACTAAAGAGAAGTCAATGAAAAGAGGTCAGAAAATATTACAACATAAAGCTTGAGATATTTTAAATTTAATATAATTATTTTCAACATTCGAATGGATATCATATAAAATAAATTATAATTGTCCTGAATTTGAAGTTGAGTCATGCGCACTGTGTTAATTTCTGGGAGGTAGATTCATCTTAGCTCAGGAGTGAGTCTGGTGTCTACCCAGCAGCTATATTTCAATTTAGCTTCGTTATTCTCTATTAGGTCTCATAGAGCAATAACTCATGTATACTATCTATTTGATTAAGTTATGTTTATGGTTAATATTACCAAAATAATAAGTTATAGAACATAATGTGTAATTTATTCTAGTGATAGAATTATTTCAATGAATTTATAAATTATACTATTCAATAATTAGAGAATTACATAGTGGGCATTTTAAGTTCCAAACATGCACACAGACTTAGCAAAAAGTATATAATGATACTAACAATTATGGGAGTTTAGAGACCCTGGCTCCCTCATAGTTGTAAGTCCTTTTGGTTCTGTTTTTTTTTTAACCTCAAATAATTAAGGATTTTAGAATGACCTCTGTGCATATACTTTATGTCTGCAAGTGTCTACCCTGATTTTTAGAACAGGGCACAAGACAAAGACTTGATTAGGCCATTTTGCTATGGCTCTGTAGAGATGACACAGATCCACCTGTTGACCCTGTCATGTAGCTATCTTAAGAGGTTATGTCAATTGTGTTAAAACCAAGTATCTTGAATAAATCTCATAATCTAATAATTTAAAATAATACTTTAAGTAAATAATTTAAATAAATTCCTACTCAGATTAGATCTATTTTTTTTGTGTGGTCAAATATGTAGATGTCAGTAATTATAATTTTTCTAAGAGAATCACATGCTTATAGGATGAGCAAAAACATTTAACAAATAAATTAGCTGCAGTAGCATTATTTATTTTTAGCTATCCTACGTCATATAATGGTTTTGCAAGCACTGTAAAGGGCAGATTAATAATAATCTATTCTGATATGAAGTATGAATAATCTTGTGTGGTAAATATTTAGCCAATTGTTTACCATAAGCCCATAAAACTCAAAAATTTATAATAGACTATAAACTCAAATGTTTAGTCAACTGCTTAATATAAAGCTATAAAACTTTGATGACTTGCCCTATATTAATGCTCTGGGCAATTTAACAAATTATTGATGTTCTGCTATGAGCTAAAAGCCTGACCAGTCAATTTACAGCCACATTGTACATTTCAGGCATTTAAAAAGTTTTTTTAAAAAAAGAATTCTAGCTTAAGTACCTTACTTAATAAGAAAATATATATTACCAAAAACAAGAACAAAATCCTTTACCCAAAATGAGAACTGCAAGTTCCAATCTCTGTTATGGCACTCTGGTAACCTTAACTGTTTAGGGAATTAAGGGTATTCAAGCTGTATCACATGTCCGTTCTCCAGATTAATAGCCCGTATAGATTGGCACAAACCAAATGTTCATCAGCAAGTATATGTGTTCTTTGTGTTTATCTTCGTTTTTCACAGAATGGTCATGATGGAATATAAACACACACACATATAGAAAATCACTGCTTCAGTGAAATGTATAATAAATAAATGCTCTACTTTGGGAATCTTCAAATTGTATCCATAGGATGTTATGCTTTATAGCTCTAAAATAAGCCTCAAATTAAAATTTAGAGAAAACACTAAAGTGAAAAGTGATGTATGAAAACTAAATTATGACAACAGCAGAAAAATATAATGCAAGTTTTCTTAGAACTAACATTTTATCCTGAAAAATCTCTATAAAAAGCAAAACTCCAGCTATTGGTCTGATTTGCTAATGAACATTTCAGTTCTATAATGTTTTCATTACTAGGGACTCTCTGTAAATTATTTTTAAATCAAAAATATATCAACATGAGAGAAACAAGATTATCCTCTCGTAGATAAAATATTTGGTTACCATGCAGGGAATCTGAGCAGTTATCTAAAGTCACATTAAGAATATTCTCAGCCGAAACCGGTTTGGCTCAGTGGATAGAACGTCGGCCTGCGGACTGAAGGGTCCCAGGTTCGATTCTGGTCAAGGGCATGTACCTCGGTTGTGGGCACATCCCCAGTAGGGGGTGTGCAGAAGGCAGCTGATCGATGTTTCTCTCTCATCGATGTTTCTAGCTCTCTGTCTCTCTCCCTTCCTCTCTGTAAAAAATCAATAAAATATTTTTTTTTTTTTAAAAAAAAGAATTGTCTCAGATTTGCAAAATTTGAATATATCTGATTGAAAATATAAATGTGATTAAATAAAGAAAGTATCAATCAGAATAGATGAAGATAGGGTCATTGTCCATAAAAGAAGATAAAAGATGCCCCAAACAAATGCTAATAGGACTAATCCAAACCCTGTTTAACAGGGAAAACTTAATCAAGATATCTTGGAAATTGGTTCCATCATTCTTACTGTGAAATTTGAATATTTGGCGCTCAGAACAAATATCCCATTCATCCAGTGACTTTTGTCCTGGCTCTGTGATTAGTTAGTTCTCCTTTATAGGATACCCACCGTGGAAGCAAACTCTGATGAGAGGATTAGAGCAAAAATGAAACAAGAATTATGGAGGTTCTTACATGTTAAAATCGAGTGGGTGGGAATACAAGGGGTGGATTTAGTTTGACAAAGCCCACCGTAAGTTTAAACCTGGTGATGTATACTCCATCCTCAAATCACCAAGTTAATCCACAAGTTAATGCATTTTTGTCCAATGACAGTATCACATTTCTTTGCCAATAAATGATCCATCATGTATTTATATATGATTAAATGGAGAATATGTGAAACACCTAGAACACAGACTGCCTACAGTATCTCCATTAGAAAAATGAAACAAAACACCTGAAAGGTGGAGAACTTTCCCAGTGACCTGTTTGGCACCACATAGACCATCTGACCAGAGGAAAAAGGTCAGACTCCACAGCAAAGGTAATTGCAATTCACTCGATGAGGGTTTGAGACAATCAGATAATATGTCCTACTTGAGGACCTCTGTTTCAAAGTAAGTAGACTTAAACTTAATGATATCCACAACACACCATGTTCTCTCATTCCTTACACATGCACTTTACATTAAAATACCCCCTCCATGCCATTAACATGGAATATACTCATTTATTTAGCACATTTTTATTGCATGTCTATTGTGCATCAGGGATAGTGCCTGACACTGGGGATATAGCCATCACTACTATAGATAAGGTCCCTGCCCTCATGAGGCCACTATTCTATTAGGGAGATAACAGATACTAAATATGTAAAACATATAAATAACCAAACCAGTTAATGACTGATTGTGACAATTACTATAAAGGAAATTAAGAGAGTGGTGTGATAAAAGTAAGTGAGGGATGAAGAGAGCCTTCTTGGTGGAGGAGACATTAACACTGAGACCTGCTGAGAAAGAAGTGTTACATAAAGAAAAGGGGAATCATGTCACATGGAAAGGAGACAGACTACAAAACTCCTGAGATAGCAAAATTTAGGTTTATATTAAAGGAACTGAAAGAATAACTTTGTGATTGGGTTGTATTAAAAAGAGGAACATGGTATGAACTTGGATAGGTAAGCAAGAACCAAAACTGCTGTGGCCTTAGTGGTCATTAAACCAGTTTGGGTTTGATTCTAAGGTGGAAAAGATGCCATTGAATAGTAGACCTCTGGCAATGACCCTGGTCAGAAATGTTGGTGGCTTACCCAAGAGGAAAAGAGTTGGAAAGAAGTGGTTGAATTAGAAACTGCATTTTTGATGTGTTCTAAATGGATGGTAAGGGGATGTAGGGCATTAAAAATGTAGTTTCTGTATTGAATTGCCATGTCCACATTGGTGCCTTGTGCCAAAATAGAAAAACAGAAGGAGAACCAAATATTCAAACACCTCCTCTGAGTAAGTTTCATGATCCCACAGGCTGAAGTAAATCTCTCTCTAGGCTCACACTCTACCTTATAGATTAGAATTTTATTAGATAATATTATAAAAATGTATTTGTTTTTCTCTCTATCACACAGAGAGCGCTTTGAAGATAGTGAGGATATTTTTTCATCTTTGTGGCTGTAGGTCTAGCACAATGTCTAGTGCATGAATTTATTTCTGGGCTTTCTATTCTGTTTCATTGCGTCTATGTGTCTTTTTATGCCAATATCATACTGTTTTAATTAATATAGCTTTGCAATATAGTTTGGAATCAAGGAGTTTGATGCCTCTAGCTTTGTTCTTCTTCCTCTAGATTGCTTTGGCTATTTGGGTCTTTTGTGGTTCTATACAAATTTTAGGATTGTTTGTTCTATTTCTTTGATAAATACCATTGGGGTTTTGATAGGGATTGCATTGAATCTGTAGCATGGGCATTTTAATAATATTAATTCTTCCAATCATGATCAAGTTCAATAATCATTTGAATGAATGAATGTAGGAAAAGCTAAGAAAACAGTCCAGGAAGTATATTATCAGAACTATGATAGTTTCCAATCTTCTTGTGGATTCTATTAATTTAAGACTATATATAAACTTTGATCAAAATCTCCTAAGGCTAATCAATTTCTTACTAAAACTCTAAGCTACCTTAAATTTCCCACATGCTCAAAGTCAGTGTGTGATTTATTTTCTATAGTTTGCATGAAGTAAAAAAAGAAAATGATGAAATTTCTTCGTTAGTCCTTGAGCTGAAAATTGGACAAAGAAGATGTATTTTATAATGAATAAAAATCAAACGACTACCTTTTAGAGATATAAAAGTATCCATTTAAAATTCTAAAAGTTGATCTTAATGAGAATTTTGGAGGCTATTTGCAAGTTTTGTTATTCTATTTTTTTTTTTAAGAATGTTCGATGTTGGTGGACAGAGATCTGAGAGAAAGAAATGGATTCACTGCTTCGAAGGAGTTACATGCATTATATTTTGTGCAGCACTCAGTGCCTATGACATGGTCCTAGTGGAAGATGAAGAAGCGGTAAGTCTAAAAGGAACATAAGGCCAGGGTGAAAAACAAGCATTTTCAGTTTGCAATATTACTACCACATTTTCCAACACAATTAAGGCCTTCCAAAGGTGTTATTTTCTAGATCCTTGTTTATCATGTTCAAGATTAATATTTTGCAAGTAATAATTCTACACATTCTCATCTTTTAAACCAAACAGAACAGAATGCATGAAAGCCTTCACCTGTTCAACAGTATCTGTAATCACAAGTACTTTGCCACCACCTCCATTGTCCTGTTTCTCAATAAAAAAGATCTCTTTCAAGAAAAAGTCACCAAAGTGCATCTTAGTGTCTGCTTTCCAGAGTACACTGGTAAGATAATTTTCATATAACTACAGAGTAGTAAAAATTTATAGAGATACATATTTCCTTATGTGGATCTTGACATGCAATATTTATGAGGTTGAGGCTTGTAGTACATTTTGAGTCATGTGTGTGATCCAAACTGGAAAGAATTTTATAAGAGAAAACACCCTACTTTGTCTGCATCAAAGCAAAGCTCTCATAAATAAACAGGAGATGGTTAGATAGACCGGTGTTGCTGCTCCACAGTAATGTATCAAATGATGTTGCAAACATTACACATTGTAATGGGAATGTACATTTTATTTCAAACTGGAATTTTTCATATATTTCCTAATGAAGCCTTGGGATGCTGTATTAGATCTCAGTGCCTCCTCAAAGTCTGAACTAAATTTCCTGAAGGATAGCATGAATGAATTTGAGAATAGTGGCACCCTTTCTTTTTCTAATTGTCCTAGAATCTAGGACCTAGAGTTTTAGTGCTGATCCTATTAATCAGTAATTATAAATGTCAGGTTCTCTAGAAGGGTTATTTTCCCTTTGGAAACTTTTTTTTTTTGCCATGATATGCTCTGTTGTCAGTAAAATTGGGTAAGATGGAAATATTTATGATTTATACACAAATACAAGCAATTTCACCACTTGATACATGAGTAACCCAGATGTTACTAGGACTATGGCATTCTGTCAAAATAACTATATGTGCTAGTCTATAGTTAGTGCTTATATCTTTCTTCTGCATTTATAAATATTAATTATATGTTCACACATTTATCATATGGTTAAATATCATGATTCTGTATTGAATATTATAAATTTCTATTTTATTTGAATTGATTTCAGAGAGAAAGGGAGAGGGAGAGAGAGCTAGAAACATCATTGATCGGCTGCCTTCTACATGCCCCACACTGGGGTCAAGCTTGCAACCTGGGGATGTGCCCTTGACCAGAATCTAACCCAGGACCCTTCAGTCCGCAGATCGACGCTCTATCTACTAAGCCAAACAGGATAGGGCTTGAATATTACAAATTAAATATAGGCTTACAATAATGCTTTCTTTTAACTACTAGAGTTTACTTCTTAGAGCAGTTTTTAGTTTAGAAGAGAAAATACAGAGTTCCCATATACTCCTTCTCGCTGGCCAGCTCCCACAGTTTCCCCTATTATTAACACCTTGCATTGCTGCAGTCTTCTTACAGTTGATGAACAGATATTGGTATATTATTAACTAAAGTCAGCAGTTTCGCCCTAACAGGTTTGGCTCAGTGGATAGAGGGTCGGCCTCTGGACTGAAGGGTCCCAGGTTCGACTCCAGTCAAGGGCATGTACCTTGTTTGCAGGCACATCCCCAGTGGGGGTTGTGCAGGAGGCAGCTGATTGATGTTTCTCTCTCATCGATGTCTCTAACTCTCTGTCCCTCTCCCTTCCTCTCTGTAAAAAATCAATAAAATATATAAATAAATAAATGGATAAATAAGTAAATAAATAAATAAAGTCAGCAGTTTGCATTAGCGTTAAGTCTTTGTGTTGTACAGGTCTATGGGTTTTACCAAATGCCTGTTATGTGCCCACCATTACTGTTATACAGAACACTTTCACTGCCTTACAAATCCCTGTGCTCCACATTCATACTTCTCCTCGCCCTCCAACCCTTGGAAACCCCTGTTATTTTCACAGTTTCTATAGTGTTGCCCTTTCCAGAATGTCATATAGCTGGAAGTATACAGTATGTGGCATTTTCTAATGCCTTTCACTTTTCAATATTAAATGCAATATGCATTTAAATGTCCTCCATACCTTTTCATGGTTTGATAGCCCATTTTTTTTTTTACTGTGGAATAATATTTCATTCTTTAAACAAACCACTTTCTGTATCCTTTCATCAATTGAAGGATATCTTGATTGCTTCCCGTTTGGGGCAATTATGGATAAAGCTACTATAAACATCCATGTGCAGGTTTCTGTGTGTACATAAGTTATTGTGGAAATGCCTAGCAGTACAATTTCCGGATTATATGATAAGACTACCTTTAACTTTTTAAGAAATTGACAAATTGCCTTCAAAAGTGGCTGTATCATTTTTTCATCCCCATCGGCAATAAATAAGAGCTCCTATGGCTCCACATCTTTGCCAGCATTTGGTGTTGTCAGTGTTTTGGAATCTTAGCTGTTACATTGTTTTAAAGATCATCCCTTGTGGGATTTTTCTCCTGGTAATAATAAATAAAACCTTACCTTCTTGGAAAATCTTTATGCTACCATTCTCTCCTGTGTTAGGTACCCACTCAGTATATTCTGCTAAAGCCACAAGTAGGTCATTTTTAGGTGTCCTGTATTTGTTAGCCTTCTTATTTTATTTCTGCCTTTCCCAATTGATCCATTGTGTGTCCTGCTACTAGTCTAACTTCCTTTTAAGCACAGCCTTCATTGGCTCTTTATTTAACTGCTGGGGTCCAACCCCAGCAGGTCCAGGAGTCCCCAAAGGTGTGGACGGAGTCAGCGAAGAAGGAATGACACGGAGAGGGCGTTCAGATGATCATCATAGCGAGGTTCTCTAGCCAAGTTCTGGTCAGAATCTCCAGCGAAGTTCTGGTTAGGATCTCCAGCCAGGTTCTGTCCAGGTTCTCCAGCCAGGTTCAGTCACCAGGTTCTAGTCAGGTTCTCTTGCCAATTTCTGCAGTCAGGTTCAGTCCAGGATCTTTTGCCATGTACTCTCTCTAGCGAAGTTCTTCTGTTTCTAGGTTCTGTGTAGGTTCTGTCTTCTTAGTTCTGTCTTCTAAGTTCTGTCTCTTTCTGTCTTGTTACATCTGTATTTATACCAGTTGATTCAATCCTATCAATCTCTATTACAAAGGTTAGGGCGTTTCTTATCTCCATTCCAGGGAGTAAAGATTATGTAGCTTAAGCATGATTGTTCGTAGTTAAAGTGATTAATTACCCGCCTGGCACTTAGTTGAGGGGTTTTATTCCCTCCCTAACTTCAGGGGAAAATCCCTACCTGGGGAAACAACCTTTCTCAGAGACCTTGGTTAAAACACATAGTGCCAAGAAGGTGAGCAAACATATTAAGAACAGTATGCCATATATGCCAGGTCCCTTGAAACAGCAAGCATGGACCGGCTCCCAGCATTTAACTTTACTAAAACATCAGTCAAGAATAGTTCTCTATCTTACATTTCTCATTTTAGCTGCTTTGTTTAATTAGCAACATAGTTCATAATCTGGCCCATACCACCTACTCTACGTGACTTCCTACAATCCCTCTATGAAAATCTTTCATTTTTACCAAACCCAATTCTCCAAAATGCACATTAACTTCTCAACTCGACCCTGAAGTCTAGTGGTATAGGCCATTCTCACCCTCACTTTTGCTTTTCACTCATATAATTTTTCTGTTCTCTTCTAGCTATTCCTTAAGGTCTAGCTCAAATACCACCTCATTCTGCAGTTTACTTTGTAACTTTTATTCTTTTCTTCATTTTGTTCATATGAAACTAAATGCACATATAGACACACAGACTTTGATATATATATAGGCTTCATTACTCACTTACTTGGTTGTGTAAATATATTAGTATTTCTCCTCTATTGATGTAGAGGTTAAATATTAGCTACTTGAAGTCCTCAGTGGTTAAGTATAGTTCCCAGCACAAAGTAGGCATTACATAAATCCCAGATAGTTGAGAATTGCCAATATTGACTTTTTAGTACAGAGTACATTAAATAGAAGCACACAAAGTACAATCTTAAAACTTACTGACATTATTTATAATTTTATTTCTTATGCAATTAATGTTTAATTTCCTTTTTAAAAGGGCCAAATACATTTGAAGATGCAGGGAACTACATCAAGAACCAGTTTCTAGACCTGAATTTAAGAAAAGAAGATAAGGAAATTTATTCCCACATGACCTGTGCGACAGATACCCAAAATGTCAAGTTCGTGTTTGATGCCGTTACAGATATAATAATCAAAGAGAATCTGAAAGATTGTGGACTTTTCTAACAACCTCTTTTTTCCTTCCATTCTCGCCTATGTATGTTTTTCAAGATATAGAAGGAAAGGTGCTATGTGATGTGTTGTTTTAATAGACATTAACATATCTAGAAATGTAAGTAGCATTATAAAGCAAAAAGTTTTCACGCAAAGTTTGAATTTATTGTCACCTGTATCTGGATCAGTTTTTATTTCTGTGGGACATTGAGGATGAGGTGTCTTTGATGTCCTTGGGTCTGAAAACTGGTATATATCAGAAATTCTACATCAGTACAAATCACTGGCATTGAATTTGCTTGGAAATTAAGTTCTGCATTGTGGCCTATTTTTGATCATAGAACAATTAAAAGTGCCAGGTAATCCATATTATTTCCATTGGCCAGATTTTGAGAGGCATTCATTTTGGTTGCTAATGTAACTGTGCCTGTACTATAGAGACTAAGCAAAGGTGATACATGTGGTATTTTACTGGTCCATTATTGCTGTTTAGCCAGCTGCAAATGAAATGTTCACTTGTTGATGCAAAATTACATATGCAAGAAAATGCATGCAATTTTATCTGTTTCCTTTTTTTCCTTAGAAAATAGTATTAATGCTTAATTTACCTGTGGAGTTGAAGATTTTAATCATCTATTTCTGCTGATTGAAAACAGGGGACAATGAATGGTCAAGTACACAGTGTAAAGATGTTAACAAGAGTTCTCAATGGAATGCTCATTTCCCCCATTTTATTCCAGAACAGAAAGGAACATTATTACAATTTTTGGTTTGGGGTCAATTCTTAGACTTTAAGAGAAAAAACGAATTCAGTGTCTTATCATTAGTATATATATTTTTTGTAAATAAGAAGTAGAAAGAAAGAGCAAGTAAATTAGGAGATTTTTTTTAGAAGAGAAAGACTGAGCTTTTCTCTTTGTACCATATGGTTCATGCTAAATGTCACATGGTATGCTAATGGTCAAAGCTTCCTTTTTAAAAGTTAATTTGGTGCCCTGCAATCTAAGTCATATTATGTATGAACAGAAAAAAATGCCTTTTCTTTTTTAATGTGTGTACCATTTACAACATATACTTTTCAAGTATGTCTCAATATTGTTTACTTTCAACACTTGTAGAAGAAGCTGATATAGATCAGAATAGTAGGTCAATGCATGAGATTTAGTATTCTGAAAAAATAGCTACTTAGGTGTTTACAATGTAGATGAGATGAAGGAAACATAAATCAAGCAATATGCCAATCTGTAGCTCCATTTGATTTAGCTGCTACTTCATTGTTCTGTAACATATTTCCTTTCCAATACATAGGATGATCACTACTCAGTAAGTAACCTTTATTAGAGTGTCCCTGGGTTTATCTTCAAAACCACAAAAGCAGTTATAAATAAATCTGTCTAAGAAAAACTATTTTTAAATTTTTGTGCTGAATATACATTTTTAAGGAGCCTAAGATACCAAGAACAACAACAACAAAAGCATGAAAATATATTTAGTTCAGGCACTCAATAAAACGTTTTGGCTAAAAAACAACATCTATATGACAACAGCCCAACATTTTGCTAGGAGATATTCAATGCTATGAGATTGTAAATTAAGATTACAAATGCTATTATTTCTTCCATTGTGTTTTGTCTTTTTTCCTTCTACTCTACTTTAAACTGTTTGTTTCCCTCAGGGTGAGAAGAATTTTCCAGAAAAGATTAAGATACTGTTTGAACTGTTACTATGATTGTTATTTAGATTTTGACTCTGGCTTACCATTAGGATTCCTCTGTTAGATAACACAGGTAGAAAGGGTTGGGTACAAAATGGTTCATTTTGTCTTTTAAAGATGCAAAACTAATTTCAATCTGTGCAAAAAACTGACAGGCATCAATATTTACTTATGAAATATTATAATCTGAGAACTTTAAAAAAAATGCTAAATGACCAATCTATAATTAGAGGTAAGTTTGGATTATTAAAACAAATAAAAACAACTTAAATTTATTCCAATGCTGATTGAAATTAAAATCTTCCTACAAATTAAAAACATTTACTATGCTAAAAAAACTTTATTAAACAGAGAAATGTTTAATAGAGAAAATATAAAATAGATGTTTGCATTATTTCTTTAATGACTGCAACCTTAAATTTGACTCTATGTTTTATTTTACATTAAAATTTTAATTAAAAATGGTTGATGCATGCCCTAGCCGGTTTGGCTCACTGGATAGAGCATCGGCCTGTGGACTGAAGGGTCCCAGGTTCGGTTCTGGCCAGGGGCACATGCCTGGGTTGCGGGCTTGATCCCCAGTAGGGGGCATGCAGGAGGCAGCCTATCAATGATTCTCTCTCATCATTGATGTTTCTATCCCTCTCCCTTCTTCTCTAAAATCAATAAAAATATATTTTAAAAAAATGGTTGGTGCAGATGCACAGCATTTTGGGCTAATTTTTAAAAAGTAACAAAATGGAAAATATAGGAAGCGATGCTTTAGCTGGAAGAAACGCACACTGAGACTAGCAATGTTCAAGTTGCTTTGAACTGAAACGCCTATTTCGATTGAAAATTCAATGTTTAACTGGACAGTTAGGTTTGAGGTTTTTTTTGCATTTATAGTGTCTCAAAGAAGCAGTCTTAGTGGTTTTCATTTAAAGTTCAAACCTGATTATACTGATATTTTCCTTTTGTGTTCTTTGAGGTTTCTCTTCCTGACTCAGACTGTCCCTGAATCCTGCTTACCTTAGATTTCTAACACTCCCAGCTCATGCATGTCTAAGATTTGTCCAGTTGTCATCACATGCACTGCCTCAGGGATCTGGTGCAGGCCTATATCTAACGGGTCATTGACAACTAGCCCTTGCAGAGGCTGTCCAGGAACATGAACATGTCAACAGACAAGTCTTTGCATCATGGCCCTTGTGACTGGAGAGAGAAATGAAAAAAGAGTATTAACTAGGTAACATTTTGGTGTCAAAATAAAATTATTGGCAACTCTACAACATGCTTTATGGAAAAGGGCTTTGCAAATCTGTGGAATCTATAATATACATTATAGATATGCAATATTTTGTTGATTGACAAAATTTATAAAATATATCAATTTTTACATACACAACACAAATGGGCAAACTACTTTTTCAGGTTATGGACCTGCCTACGACAATGTTTTCCTTGACCCATTATCCTATTTAATCCAAAATGTATTTTAAGCTACTTGCAGAAAATCACTCAGGCTTGACTTTTCATCTAACAATATGTATATGAGGAAAAGGGCTTTGTGTTGATTTATGTGTTTTTACTATGTTACACCACCTCACGATCAGAGCTGGATATGTTTCTGAGCATATATGGCTACTAAAAATAAAATATTTGTGAGAACTGTAAGAGAAATTATGAATCTTCTACCTTTGATTATCTTTAAAAAGAGGAGAGACAGCCTCTGCCTGGGATGGAGTAAGTGCTCACTAGAGAATAGATCCAATTAAGGCTCTCTTTCCATGGAGGTCTTTTCTGACAGTCTTACAAACTAGTCTGTAGCCACAGGGGGGCACACTTACATCATGTGTTTTTCTATTCAAAAGTTGCAGATGTAATAAACTTGGATTACCAGTAACTTTAATGAAACATATAATTAAAATCCTATTAAGAACCATAGTTTATGTTGTGCTTCTAGCTCAGTTGTAAACGATAATCTCCTGATAATCATCATATGCACTATTTTAATCAAATTTGTAAATAACAAAGCTATTGAAACATCTTCAAGTTTGTTTAGTGTTACGACAATATCTAGTCTCTTCCTAAACTCTTTTTTTTTTTTGCCATTTTGAAACTGTTGCTTAAATCTAATTCACCATTAATTTTGTAAAATGTGGCTTGTTTTTTTTCCAGTAACCTGTATTGTGCCTGAAATCTTGATTAGCTTTCAAAGGTAGAAGAAAAATTATTTGATGCCTAACTGCTATGTTTTGTGACTAGTAATGAATTGGCTGCTTATTATTGTGTACCTTTTCAGTAAATCAAAGTAAAATTTTACTCTGTTGTAACATTAGCCATTCCATTATTTCTTTATTAAAACTTTTTCACAATCACCAAACTAAGAGGAAAATGAGTGCTCTGTGACATTTGGCTATTACCAGCACATAACTGCCAACACACTTTTCATTAGTAATAGCATAATTGTTATTTTAAACCAAATTAGTCACACTAGTTAAGAAATAGAGTCACATGACCGAAAAAGGAAATAAAAAAAAAATCTCAATTTACTTCACAGAGACAGTGATGGCCCTCTTTTTACTACACCTTTCAGATAAAAAGCAAAACAAAAGAGATGATTAAGCAAAGTATAAGCAAAACAAAGACACATAAGCAAAACAAAGAGATTATTTTATTTGAAAGGCATTCATAGTTTCTAAATTGGTCAGATTGAAACAAAACAGCACATTCTGAATGTGATTGAAAATTGTTTTTTCAATGTACATTGATGTGAGCTTTCTTTTCTGAAAATGAAAAATGGTCAAATGCCATTATAATATCGAAACCAATGGAGATTGTTTCCATTTTAACATAGTAAAAGCCTTACACTGGAGAAAATGACTGTACTTAACGTTAGCATAAGGAAGTTGAGAATAAAAAGGACCCCATGCAAAATGCCGAAGAAAAAAAACTGATAATATGCTGCAATTATCCAATGATAATTTGACTATTTTAACATACAAAATATTGATATACAAGTGTACACTTATAATAGCACAGTTATATAATTTATCAGCAAAAGAAACATTTATATTTCCCTTGGAGTTAGATTATTCATTAAAGTGAGTCCACAAATGTTTAATTGGTTTCTATTATATTCAAGAAACAATCACTTCACATTTTTATTCCCATATATAGTGTGCTCCCCAACAATACCCGTAGCAGGGCAGCATAATCATCTCTGATTTTTGAAACAAAGCATAGAGAATTTTATTACAAAAACATATAAACCACAAAGATATGCTTATTCCTTTCTTTTAATTCTGTTCTTTTGTAAATATCAAAAGAAGTACTGCTAAGCAATAGCCACACTGTTTTGCTATAAGACATTAGTGCAGTGGTTCTCAACCTTCCTAATGCTGCAACCCTAATACAGTTCCTCAGCTTGTGGTGACCCTCAACCATAAAATTATTTTTGTTGCTACTTCATAACTGTAATTTTGCTACTGTTATGAATCGTAATGTAAATATCTGATACACAGGATGTATTTTCATTGTTACAAATTGAACATAATTAAAGCATAGTGATTAATCACAAAAACAATATATAATTATATATGTGTTTTCCGATGGTCTTAGGTGACTCCTGTGAAAGGGTTGTTCGACCCCCAAAAGGGTTGCGACCCACAGGTTGAGAACAGCTGCATTAGTGTAAGTATCTGAACACTTGTATTCCAACCCACCATGAAGAGAAGACTTCATTAAACTCACAGATTCCAATAGCATATTACTCATCAGGTGATTCATTGTGAATCTGTGGCAAAATGTTTTTCTGAACTATATTCCCAGAACAGGGGACCTGGTCACTGTAGAGAATCTTGGGCTGTGCTTGTGAACTTAAGTTTGTCTCATCAACAGGTCCACCATGGGACATTGAACAATTCATTTTTTTTCCCTCAGAGACAATTTTTCTTACCTATGGATTAAACAATCACCACAGACCCAGACCCATACAGGCTGAGCTTCTGAGTGAGCAGTTTCTTTTGAAAACTGATACCAGAGTAAGTGTGCCCTAATGGAGTTACTAAAAGAAAAACAATACAGGAAGAGAAATTATATAGAAATGATTTTTTCATTAATATGTGGCATTGTTTAAAAATTGTGATTTCCTTTTCTTTTCAGTTTCCAACTGAGGGTTACCAAGTGTGATTTGTTCCTAGGAGGAAGCATCTCTAACACTGCCCCTCCTAGAGGCTTTGTAAGGACAACAATTCATTGTTCACCCTGGAGCAGAGATCATCCCTTGCCATCCAAGGGAGGGAAAATTCATTGGTTAATGTATAAAAATTTTATCAAAGAATGATAAAATTGGTGTCAACTTGGTAAACTTACCAAACATTTAATTATATACTTAAAATAAGTGAATGTATAAATTACCTTTTAAATCATTGTTATAATCATGCTAAAGATAATTTTTTAAAGAATAAGTTGGCAATCATTCTCCCTTGAATCTCACATATGTAAAAGAATTAATAAATATTTAATAAATTAATAAACAATGCATAGTCCTCATAATTATTCTCAGCCTGAAACAAATATTCCAGATTCAAATACCACCCCTGCCCCCTCTCTTGGATCACTGTCTCTGAACGGTTGGCAGCTTAAAAGTAAAAGTAATTATTTAGTTTTACTTTCTTTTTTTAAAATATATTTTATTGATTTCAGAGAGGAAAGGAGAGGGGGAGAGAGAAACATCAATGATGAGAGAGAATCATTGATTGGCTGCCTCCCACACAGCCCCCACTGGGGATCGAGCCCTCAACCCAGGCACGTGCCCTTGGCTGGAATTGAACCTGGGACCCCTCAGTCTGCAGGCCGACGCTCTATCCACTGAGCCAAACCAGCTAGGGCTTAGTTTTACTTTCTAAAAAACTTCTGGAAGCTGAGATCATTCTCCTGCTAAAATAAAGTTTCAGGATAATTCCTAGTGCTCAGGGCACGTGGCCCTGTCCCTCTGATAGCAGGTCCTTGGTGGGTGTTTCATTGCCAGAACTGCCCTCTGCAATGCATGCCTTAAGAGTTCCTTATTCTTCAAACCTTAAGTCTGAGTCAACCCTTGAGACAGAGGACCCAGAATTCACAGAACAGAAGCTCACCTGCTTCCTACTGTTATAGCTCACTATAACAATTCTACTCTTTCCAACTTAAAATTTACAATAAAATATTTATGTGTTATTGTTTGATTTACCTTTATTTTTTCACTTTACTGTAAGCTCCCTTAGTGCAGAGTCCATATCTGGGCTTTCCATACTTGGGCTTAATGCCAAGTAGGAAATTAATGAACATTTGTGAATTAATTCACAAATGAACCAATGATTGTTTACCAATTCCTTCTAGAAAGTTTCTTTTTTTTCTTGGCTTCCATAATGCCATAATTCCCTGATTTTTCTTTTTTCTCTCTGGCTTCTTCTCACCAAACTCCTCTGATCATTTCGTAAATGTTAGTTGTACTAAA